GTGGTGGCGGCCCCGCGTGGTCCAGCTCGCGCCAGCTCGACCTTCTCAATGTTGCGAGGAGGGACAACAAACAAACGTTTGTCGTGCAGCTATTACTTTCGCCCTCGCTGCCGCTGCTGCCGCCACAACACTCACTGACCGGCTGGCGGGGCTGTTACCCACGGATATTTACGAGTCGCTCCCGACTTGAGGAAAGGACTGGATGTGTCCCCACCCTGTCCTGGCCCAGTCCTGCCCTGCCGGCCCGGGTTAGGGCCGGACGGTGAGCTTTATCTGATGCAAGGAAACTGAGAGTGATTTCCGGGGAGCTACGCTGAGCTGCTTGACACCATAAGACACAAGTCAAGTTCTATCGCTCGTTAGAAATCTAAGTAACATTTTCATCGTTTCGTTGCTTGTGTGCAGCGCGGATTCGGCTCTCGATAAACTTGCATCGGCAGCTGTCCCCCTGCTACCGCCGAGTTATTGGTTTCATCCACTTGTCCCGCGCGCCCGTGGACCGTTTAGGAGCCACGACTTGGTCCAGATTGACGCCTGGCCCAACTCATGTGTACGTCTGGTCGGAACGCGTCGATGCCTCCCCTCCTCCCGCCCGCTCCGCACCCTGCCTCAATACGCCCCGCCGCCCCACCCTCTCCTTTTGTGCGCGGCGCCCCATCTGGGCCCGTCCCCCCTTATTTTATGTCTTATTTTCCCTCGCCCTCACCCTCACGCACGGCCGCCGTCCCGTCGCAGCCCCATCGCCACGGCGGCGGCTCTGTGCGTGCTGCTGAAACAAGTGCCCCCCCCCACCCCGCACACACACACACACACCAGACAGGTGCGTGTCGCGGCACTTGTCGAAGGCTGCGTCCCGGTCCCGCGGCCACCCACGCGTCGCACGCAAGCCGCGGCGGGCAGTTATGACCTGCGAGCGGTGGCGCATGGTCGTGTTCACCCACTGTTAAAACTTTTGCTGTAAATTTACAACACCAGTGCTGTAAACTTTTAAAGCAACACATGTTGTTTTTGAACAACACATTTTGTGATTCAACAAGTTACTTATCCCGAAATAGAAACTTTAAAAAAGATTTGCATTAAGAATTTGAAATGAATTGCTCCTTTAGGAACGAAAACGTTGTTAGGCCTTACTCCCTACATTACAAATTTGTTTGTTTTTCAACAACACGTGTTTGAAACACAAGTTTGAAGCACACGAGTTGTAGGCATGCATCCTGCACTATTTCCAATGTTGGGCAAATTATAAGTAAAATGACACGATGTAGATTACATTTGATTGAAAACAACTCTCTTGTTTTAAAACAGAACATGTCATTAAGATAAACGTAATTAATTGACAAATATTTTTAACAGCCCATGGCCGTCCGCCGCCGGCTCACAGCGTCAAACATTTATCGTTCGGGCCATCTTCCGCTATGTCGCTTTCAGGGCGTTCGGAACTCCTGTCGCTGTTGTACGAGACACATCTCCCCGCCCGCATTGCTGCGTCTCGCGTGAACAATACACCCCCCAGGCACCTGGCAGCTCAGGGGGTAAGCGAGGGTTGTGGCGCGACGGCGAGACCCAGGCCGAGCCCGGGACGAAAACATCGGCACTTCACTTACTTCGCCCTTCTTCCATGTTTACTCGCGTTTCTCTCTCAGCCGCCGGAGGCCGGCGCTTTTCAATCTCAGGTCCAAATGTTGTCGCCCGCCGGTCGAACGCGCGCTGCCGGGGCCGCCGGCCGCCGCGGCGCAGACCGAACGTGGCAGACTGCAAATAGCCGAGGCGAGGCGTATGCGCAGCTCAAACAGAGATAAGGCCAGACGGCCACCGACTCCAGCGCCCCTGCCCCTCCCCCCAGCAAACACAGGTCTGCTCCCGCCCCGCCCCCCGCGCCCGGCCTGACCATCCTCACATGACTTTTTTCCAGTCTAGTGAATTAGCATCCCTCCACGCCACATCCTCTGCCCCTGCGCTGCGCCGCTCCTCCGCGTCATATTTAGACTCCCTGCGACCAGTGACGCTCGGTGTTCACAAACGTTCCGCGCTGCAGGAGCGGTCCTGGGCGCTCGGGGCCTGCGGGCGGGCGGCCTAGAGGGCGGCCAGAAAGGGCTGGAAGGTGGAGGAGCTCGACACAACCAGTCCAGCCGCCGGGCGGGCGGTGCGGCGTTCAGGTTTCCGCGGCAGATTGGAGGCGACAGCAAAAGGATGGAAAGGGGGGGGGGCAGCGGATATTCGTCTTGCATTGCGAGGGGGCGTCGACCACGCCGCCGACGAGCGCACACATGACGTGCATGCGCCTGGTCGCTGCGGCCGTGAAACTCGAGCCGGGTCAGAGACAGACGAGCCTCCCTTCCTCCTTGCCCCCCTCCCCCCTCCCCCCGCCTCGTATCACTGCCCTGCCCCACTGTCTGCGCCGCACCTGCGAGAGGGAATGTTTAGGGAGCGGCTACGGGCGTTTGGGGTCCCACTAAGGATGTTTAGGGCACGACTGGGCATTTGGGGCACGACCGAACAGGTAGTCCATCGGTGCGACTGTGCCAGGTGGCTTGTACCGCGCACTATCGTAGTCATGCTGAACCGCATGCACGTGAGCCGGCGGGATTGTCGATCCTTGCAGCCCACGCTCCTTATGGCCCTGTTTGAGTAGGCAACCCGCCCGCCCGCGCGAATGCGGTACAGTACAACCACGAAAGTGCGCCATCTGGTAGAGTTACTCTATAGCTACAGCCGCGGAGTCACTGTATGGGTACACTCTATGGATGCATACATCGGTACGTAGTGTCACTCTATGGATTCATACATTGGTAGAGACACTCTATGAGCACGGTAGTGTCACTCTATGTGTACAACCGTGGATTTACTAAAAGGGTACAGCTGTAGTCACTCAATAGGTTCGTCGGTATAGTCACTATGGGATGGGCACAACCGTAGAGTCACTCGCACCTTACACACCTCGGTACACCTCGGGGTACACAATTGACTGCGAGTGACGCATGGTGCGCTGTGCACTTCTGCACGTCCCCCAGCCCCGGGCCCCGGGCTCCGGGCCGACGGCGAGGTGCACGCTGCGGTGCACACGGCAGCGTGACGGTCCTCGCCTCGCATGGCCGGCTCCGGTCGGCTGGGAGAGGCGCGGAGGGCCTCAATCGGACGGGGACGCCACGCTACGCCACGCCACGGCCCGCGGTGACAAAGCGGCCGGCCCATTACGGATTTGCCGCGCGGCCGGCGGCGTGGGCAGCAGGCGGGCCAGAGGCAGCGGCAGGGACTTCCCCGGCGCGGCTCGCGGCTTATTCATTCGCGGCCCGCGGCACACGCGAGCACTTGATCGCCGCGCCGCGCCACGCCACCCACCTGTCACCGGCTAGAGCCGGTCCGGGCCCGGCCGGCCCGGCGCAGCCCGGCGCGCCATGAGCCTCTGAAATAGCCTGGCAGGCTCGGGGGCAGCCTCCCCCTTGACCTCGGGCGGACCCTGCCCCTTGGCCGCGCCGCGTTTGAACTTGGAAGGAGGGGGGGGGGGGGGGTCCCCACTGCAGCTGCGGTGCGGCGGCACAGAAACGCCATGAGAAACGCAAACACGGCCGCCGTGGGTTCGAATCCAAAGCGGGAGGGGTGCTCTTGTTTTTCTTGTCGCCACGATAAGCTCTGGCCGCGCCGCCACCAAGCGCAGCTAGGCACAGCGGCGGCCAGAGTCCGTATTGGGCGTGATGCACCCCAGATTAACATGACCATTAACATCTTTGCCAGCTCGAGGCGGCGTGGACGGCAAGGCAGGCGAGCAAGTGTCGTCATGAGATGTCGCCGCCACCGACATCGCCCTCACCGTCGCCCCCGCTGATATTCTGCCCGACCGAACCCCCCTCCCCTTGACATTTTTTTCGCCACGTTTATCATCAACGTCCGAGTCCCTTGTCACGCCATTCATCATTTGTGTCGATGGCCATCCATTAGGCGGCGGCGTGTCTCCAGCGTCACCAACAGCCCCGCGGAGGGCCTCGGGGCGGGCTGAGCCCTCGGGAGGGCTGAGCGGGGTCCTTACCGGGTGCAGCGCGGTGCAGCGCGGAGGTGGCGCAGGGCGGCGCAGGCAGGGCCGCGCACCGTATCCTGGGGGCGGCGCGGGGGCGGCGCGCGGGGGGCGGGCGGGCGCCCGAATCACTGCACTTTGTCTTGAGACACTCACTCACATCCACAGACACACACAACACTGATGAGTGGGCGGGGCGGGGGCCGGCACCAGCCCAGTGTCGAGGTTAATCCTTGGAGGGGCTCACAACACACACTCACCCTGCCTGTCAGTCAGAGAGTACTTGTCGCGAGTGCGTCGCGTATCCAAGAGGGGTGCGCGGGTGCGCTGCACTGGTGACAACGTCCGTCACGCTCGCGGCGAGCGGTCCGCGGTGCCGGGGGAGGTGCGCGGGCCGTGCGCGACGCGCGCCATCTGCGGACACTCGAGGCCCGGACATAAACGAGACGCACCGGCCGGCGCGCGGTGAAAAAGTCCCCTTCTCCTCCCTCCTCCGGTGTGGTGGACCGGAGCGGGACGTCGGGAGCGGGCGGGAGCGGGGCGAGGGCGGCGCGAGGAGCGGAGCGGCACGGTGCGGAGCGGCGGAGCGCTACTGCTCTACCGGCCTCATGTCTGACTGGCTTGACTCCCAGCACTGAAGTCCCAGCCAGCCATGGCGGGCTGGCGCTGGCGGAGCTGGCGGCCGCTGCTGGCGGGCCCGAGCCCGGGCGGCGTTGCCACACCGCCCCACACCCCCTCCCCTCCCCCG